CCTTCCATATCAAATATACAAGTTGCAATATCTGTGAAGCACAACAAAACCAAGTGCAGAAAAATGAAGTATTCCTGCATGTAGAGCAGTTTCAGAGTTGTTCATCTGTACCCCATGAAAAAAAAAGTTGTCAGTTAGAGCACAGTAATTATGTAAAGATCCTTTTCCTTCAACCTTACAAATTCCAGTGAAAACACTATTTTTCAAAGTAACTCAAGTCAGGCCCTTCGCACTTCATGTGGTTATGTCATGCACCTTTGGTCCAGTTAGATTTATTTGTTATGATCTGTATCCCATCCTGGGATTCCCCCAACATTCTGGCTTCTTTTTAAACTTTACATACATTAAAGTCCATTCTTTGTGATGTACAAGCTTATGGGTTTCACATTGCATAGCATCATGTATCCACTACCTGAGTTCCATCATCTTAAAAATTCTCCTGAACATTCCCTCTGTAGTCAACTACCCCTTTTTGCCTGTCTTTGGTAATCACTGATCTGTTTTCTGTTCTTATAGTTTTGTCTCTTCCAGAATGTGCTATGAATGGAATCAAACAATGTACGGTTTTGGGACTGACATCTTTCATTTAGTTAAATGTAGTTAGGGTTCATCCATGTCACTGCATAAATCAATAGCACTTTTATTTTTATCACTGAGTATTCCACTATCTATTCCACGACTCAGGATGTATATAGCACAGTCTATTCATTCCCCTGTTGCAAGATATTTGGGTTGCTTAAGTATTATTATTTTTTTTTGGTGGTTATGAATAAAGGTGTCGTATGCATTAATGTACAGTTTTTTTACGAATGTAAAATTTTAATTTACTTGGTTAAATAGTTAGAAATTGTATTGCTAGGTTGTATGGTAAGTTTATGTTTAATTAAGTAAACATCTACCAAGTTATCCTCCAAACTGTATCATTTTGCATTTCCACCATCAATGAACAAAAGTCTCTATTGCTACACAGTTGTCTCCAGCATTTGGTATGGCCAGATTTATTTGTATTTTAGCAATTCAAATAAGCATTAAATTAGCTTTTAATATTTAGACTTACAAATAAATAATCTTATGTAGTTACTCTGTAAGCCAAATAGTTTTCATTTTTATTGTTGTTTGACTAAGAATTTGCAGAATTTTCTTTTTATGCTAGAGAATTGGATGTTTAACCAAGGTATTTATATGTAACTCCCACCCCCACATTGCCTTTCTTTTTTTTTTTTTTTTTTGAGTTGGAGTCTCACTCTGGCCCAGACTGGAGTGCAGTGGCCGCTCCCGGCCACTGCAGCCTCCACCTGCTGGGCTCCAGCGATCCTTCCGCCTCAGCCTTCCAAGTAGCCGGAATTACAGGCATACGCTACCATGCCCGGCTGATTTTTTGATTTATTGTAGAGATGCGGTCTTGCTCCCAGGCGGGTCTCGAACCCGCGGGCTCAGGCAATCCACTCACCTCAGCCTCCCAAAGGTGCTGGATTACAGGCTCAGCCACCAAGCCTTTTTTTTTGTTTTTGTTTTGAGTTGGAGTCTCACTCCGTCACCCAGACTGGAGTGCAGTGGCACGCTCCCGGCCACCACAGCCTCGACCTGCTGGGCTCCAGCAGTCCTTCCTCCTCAGCCTTACAAGTAGCCGGAACTATAGGCAAGCGCTACCATGCCCGGCTAATTTTTGATTTATTGTAGAGACGAGGTCTCGCCAACTTTCCCGGGCGCGTCACGAACCCGTGGGCTCAGGCAATCCACTCACCTCGGCTTCCCAAAGTGCTGAGATTACAGGCCGAGCCACCGAACCTGGCCCATGTTGCCTTTCTGATACAAAAATTCAAATGTTTCTTAAGATCTGAACATTTTTTTCTTATATATTTGAAGTTTTGCTTTTTTCCACCCATAATTAATCTGCTTGTGAGACCTCTGTTATATAAATTTGGATCTCATATGTTTCTCTTTTTCATATATTTTTATTTTGCTGATGGTTTGCATTCTTTGGTTTTTTTGCTTTATACTTCATGAAATTTCTTAAGGGAGTTCCTAAATCACTATTTTTTTTCAGTCAATGTTTCACTGAATTAATTAATTAATTAATTTTGGGTCAAGTTCTCACTCTGTCACTCAGGCTGGAGTGCAGTGCCACAATCATGGCTCATTGCAACCTCTACCTCCTGGGCCCAGGCAATCCTTCTGCCTTAGCCTCCCAAGCAACTGAGACTGTAAGCATTTGCACCACACTAAGTTTTGTTTTGTTTTTTTTTTGGGGGGGTAGAGATAAAACCTCCCTGTGATGCCCAGCCTGGGTTTATATTAAGTGTGTGTGTGTGTGTGTGTGTGTGTGTGTGTGTGTGTGTTTTAATTTCTTATAGTTTATTTTACATATCAGCTTTCACTTAATTTATGAAGGCAATATACTGGATATACTAAGTAGAATTTTTAAAGCACTATCTTTGGTTATTTGTTGGAGGTCTTGGTTCTGAATGCCCAACCTCTCCCACCCCTTCCCCCATACACACCAACCACTTTGGGAGTTGCCTACTCTCTCCATATTGCTTGGTGATTTGATTTATCTATTAAAATTCAAGAATGGAGGTCAGTTTTATTAAGATTGATTGCTAATACGGCTTTTTGTATTGTATTTCCAGGATACTGCTGACTTTCTTCTTGCATAGCGCCCTGTGAACATGTCTTCCTGGGAAATGCAAGTGGTGGGTCTAAGCTAATGAATACGGTTTGTTTTAAGATACAGATAGGTATACTGAAAAGTTCTAAGAGCAAGGTGGTTGGCCTGGGTATACTATAAGATTCAAGCTGTAGATTTGCCTATTGTGCTGTTTGTAGCAAGTAAAGAACTCCAGAGGACACTTGTTTTAGTCTATAATTCTATCTGTGGTTCTAGAAACTATAATATTTGTAAGTGATTTCTAATTGACTCAGTCTCAAACTTTGGTATTAAAGTCTAAAAACTGGATTTATCTTGTTAGATGTTTTATAAGTAATCAGAAGTAGGGATAGAGGCTGAGTATGGTATTGAATTCGTAGGGAGGCCATAGTAAATTACCACAAACTAAGTGACTTAAAAAACCAGAAATTTACTCCCTTACAGATGCAGAAAATAGGAGCCCAAAATTAAGGTTTCAGTAGGGTTGATTTCTTCTGAATGGGGATCTGTTTCTTATTTCTTGGCTTAGCTTGTAGATGCATCACTCCAATTCTTTCTCCATCTTCACATGTTGTTTTCTCCTGTGTGTCTATGTCTCTGCGTCCAAATTTCCCTCTTCTTATAAGGACACTTCTCATAATGAATTTAGGGTATAGGCTAATCTCATCTGACCTCATCTTAACTTGATTACATTTGCAAAAACCCTGTTTCTGAATGTCATTTTCACAGGTTCTGCATGAATATGACTTCTAGGGCAATACTACTAAACTCAGTACTAATGTTAAGGAGTTGATTCAGATGCTGTGCTATGAGAAGTCCCAGTTTAACAACTTTTCTTTTTATTCATAGCAGTTGAAATAAAGCCTGGGGAAAGCCTGGTGCAGAGAACCACCTCGTTCACAATTTGAATTCTCATCTGCCCTCCTGCCAGTTATCTCAGACTCCCCCTTGCTTCTCTCCTCTGTCATTCTGAGATGAAGAAGGGAAACTGATGAGACCTCATTTTGCTTTGGTGAAATGCTTGGCATGGGTACTATACTCTTGTTTGTGGATCTGATACACAATTTGCTTAACATGGTCCAAAAATGTTTAAAGTTTTTAGTCCATTATTAGTGCTTTTTCTTGTGTTTCTTTGCTTATAGATCTTTTCTTTTCTTTTTTTTCTTTCTTTCCTCTTTTTGTATTTCATTGGTCAAGTAGATGAAACTTTTAATGCATCAGGCAAAAAATTACTTGGTATAGTACACCACCTTCATAAATATTGAAGACAGTCTCTTATTCTTCCTTTACAGCGTTCTAATCACAGTCTTTGTATAGAACAGATATTCAATGAGTATTTTTAAAATGAATTTGTAATTCTAGATATTAAGTATAAATGCATCCATGGAGAATTTTGGTACAAGCCTTTCTTGTACCTTTGAAATCATGTAGTACCTGAAATTGCTAAGACTAAAAGAGATGGAGAAGAGATGAGAGGCAAGTAATAAACATATATTTAACCTTGCTATATAGCAAAAACTATGAAAAGGCCATGTCAAAAGCTGTTTAGTCCTCACAACAATACTATGAGATCAGAATCTCTTCCATTTTATAAATATGGTAGGGTTACATAAATATTACAGGGTTAAGTAACTTCTTCAAGGTTACATAACTACTATGCAATAAAACCTTTTTAGCAAGAAATCTGTGTCTTCCTAAATCAAAATCTATACTTTTCTTATCATACCTCCTTATTATTTCCTATGGGATAATGTCAGTTTTTCTGGAACCAAGAAGTTTCACTGTTTCTTACATACTATTGAGAAAAATTGTTCATTTTATCAAATATTGCTCATCATACACATCCATATGTGTGCACACATATGTAAATACTTATATAGAATTTACAAACTTATAAATTATTTCTGCAGAACCTGTGGCTAACTCTGATTTTGTAACGCAGTAATTGTCTTTATTCAGCTATTCTGAGACCCATGACAAAATCAGTGCCCACCCACTCAGAGGCAACAGAGTGTGTGACATGGAATGAAAATCCCAAGAATTACCATGCTTCCCTTTCTCACGCTATACTTTCTTAGCTTGTTTACAGTTCCTATCCAGATTCTCCTTTAAACAAACATTTGGTAAGTTATTCTATGTGCTAGGCATTGTTCTGTGCTGGTTCTGGAATCCTCAGGGAAACACATGTATTAAAACAGGAAGGAGTCATTCTGTTTTTCAGGAAAACAGAAGATGGTTTTGTTGACAACTTCAATGGCAATGATGAGTTTCTCAGTTCAGTTGACTGGGGTGAAAACAAGATGGTCAGAAGAGAGTAAAGAGAATAATAATAATAATAATAATAAAGATATACCTTGTTCACATGAGCTCTAAGCTGGTGAGTCTCAATCAACTGAGGAAGTCTGTTGGCAATTTCCATCCAAGGCCTGTAATGATCTGGAAGTTCTTTCTGCATTCAAAATAGAAATATGTCAATGTTTTAGACCTCTTTGGAAAGCAGGATCAGGGAGTAGCAGCTTTCAGATTTCAGCCTTCAGGAGAGTTCAAGTCAACTCAGTTCAACAAACATTGAAAATTCACTATATGCTAGGCCCTTTGCTAGGCACTGCAGACACATAAATGACTAAAATGCAGTTCATGTCCTTAAGAAGCACATGGTCTAGTTAGGGAGAAAAAGATCTAATCAGATGTATCCCAATATGGCAAAATATACTTAATTACTGATATGTGTGTAAGTTTAAGGACTTGCAAACAAGAGGAAGTAGTTAATTGCGTCAATTGCTGTTGGGAATTAAAGGGAAACATTTATAGAAATATGACAGTTAAGTCCAGTGTTGGAGTCCAGAAGTGACTTTTTTTTGGCGGTGGGGGGGGGCGTGGGGAGGAGGTGGGGAACTTGGAGAAGGTAGTAAAGGCAGAGGGGACAGCAGATAAGTGCATATGTGTTCTTATTGGGACTACAAATGAGTCTGTGCTGCTAGAATACAGAGCTCAAGAGAAAGCATGATGGAAAATGAATCTAAAAAGTCAGATTAAATGTGCTTTGTATAGAATATATAAGTTTTTCCTTTATGTAAATTGGTGAAATTGTTTGATTTTTAAATTTTAAGAAGATAATTTTGTCTGTAAGATTTTAGGATATAAAGTCATATTATTAAGCCCTTGATGTACTTTTTTTTAAGTGAAAAAGCAGGATTTATTGAGAGGACAGGAAAGCTCCCACAGTGGGAGGGGACCCGAGGGGTTGCCCAACATACTATTTAAGAAGTAAACTTAGGCAATTGCATTGAATTTGGAAAGGAGAGACGGTATTCAAGGTATATTTGGAAAATACATTGAAATGATATGATGATTAAATTTGAGGGTGGGTGCTATCCTAAGTAGCTTTATTTGTGTGCCCATTCTGGATTCACTGTTTAGTCAAGTAGGATGTAGTCTGAATTTTAGTCACTCCAACTTTAACTCAAGGAGTGGCAAATTACATTAGTAATTGTGAATTTTCATTGGAGCCTAGACACTCTCATTTCTTTACAGATTGTCTATGTTGTTGTTTTTGTATTATAACAGTGGAGTTGGGTAGTTGCAACAGAAACTGTATGGTATGCAAAGGCTAAAGTACTTATGTTTTTTTAATATATTGAGTTAAAAATATCTGTAGAAACTAAAAATATGGCTGTGTACTGAAAAGTTTTATATACAGTTTAAAGGTCAGGAGAAAAAGTCATATTAGAAATATGAAATTGAAAAGCATAACTGCAGGAAAAACCTTACACTGTGGTTAAAACCACAAAGGTGTAGAAGGTCATTTGAGAGAATATATGAAGTGAAAGGAGAAGAAAGTCTAGATTAGCACAGTGGAAATATTCACGAGGTAGCTAGAAGAATTGAATCCAGCAATACAGCTCAAAAAGATAGTTATGGAAGTTCAATGAGCTGGAATAGAACGACCTTATCAAAGTCAAGACATCAGGAGATTTTACAGGAGTAAGGAATCATCAGAAGGTCAAATGTACTATTAGAAACTTAAACTAAGACTCCCTCCTTTAAGCCGGGCTCGGTGGCTCAGCCTGTAATCCCGTGCTTTGGGAGGCTGAGGTGAGTGGATTGCCTGAGCCCACGGGTTCGAGACCCGCCTGGGAA